CTGATGTCTACCTCCAAACTCCAACACCCCAGCATGGCCTTGGCCATCGCTTGGTCAGTCAACAGACGCTTGCCAAGAAGCACCGCCCCCCCGCCTGCATAGTGATCCCCCCCCCACGGTGCTGGGAGCAAAAGGGCAGAGACAGAACTGAAGCACTGCTGAGAAAAGGCAGCTTGCACACAAAGGTCACAAGTGGCTCCAGAAAGCAGGAGATAAGACGCCGCGTTCATCTAGACACTGAGCACGCTGCCAATGCCGCCCGCCTTGGCCGGCTACCGGCGTCTCCACAAGGCCAGTTAGCTCCACTCCTGGCCACTGCCGAGATCGGGCTGGGCTCTGGCCTGTACTTCAACAGCTCTTGCTGCAGACATTTGCTACCAAGTCCCCCCAGTCCAAGCCGAGAAGACAGCCAGGCACGGCCTCCTGGACGCACTTCTCACTCGCAGGCACCCAGGAAGAGAAGCCCTGCTGTGCTCGAGACTATGAATTTCTTCTTTTTTTCTTTTGAGACCAGCTCTCATTGTGTAGTTCAGGCTGGCCTTGAATGCATCATATAGCCCAGGTTGACTTTGAACTTGCGGTGATCCTCCTGCCTCAGCCTCCCGAGTGCTGGAATTACAGGCGTGCACCGAGATGCCCAGCTTCCACTATGAATTCTTGACTCCCAATCTTCCACATAACTCTAGTTTGGAGTTCTGTATTCTAAACCACCTTTTGTCCTTAATTCATTTTAACCAGCAAAAGAGGCAGGGACCAAACGTCTGCAGTCCTAACCCGGAGGGAGGCTCGGCCGAAGGGAGCCCAGGAGGATTCCCCAGCACCCTGCGGGGCAGCTTCCCGCAGCCAGAGGATAGCAGAGAAGAGCGGCATCCCTTGCGACAGTCACCTCCGTGTAGGGGACGAGGAGATGCCCAGGGTATGCACCAGTAGAAAAAGCGAGGGAAACCAGTCCGTGGCTAACAGCATCCCTTCCCGCGCTCGAAGTGGACCTGCGCTCATGGAAAAAGAAACTGGGTGCCATCAACAGTCTCAGTTCCCACTGACCTGCTCACCCGGGGCTGTCTCCTGAAAGCGCCTGCAGCCACGCCCCCTCCAGCCACGCCCTGTCAACGAGCCACACCCTTCGCTGGCCACGCCCTTCCGCTGGCCACGCCCCTTCCGCTAGCAACGTCCTCCACGTTCAATGTCCTCTCGGTGACTGCTGCACCCACCAGCCAGGGCCGCGATGCGGGTGATGCTGCCCCCACCCGCCGCAAAGGAGCAGCATCCCAAACAGTTCCAGTGCAAGGAAGACCGCGGCGTGGAGCTGCTAATCCAGCCTGCCCTGGTGGCCCGCGCCCCGGTGCCACGCGCTGTGACTCGCGCCAGCTGCAAGCTGCTGGTCTGCCTGCGCACCTGAGTGCCGAGAGACTGACAAGAGACGCAGCCTAATTCCTTCTCTCTGCCAAGCAGCTTCCAAGGGAACAGCGGCTCCTGGCAGGTGCACACGCGCACGGGCAGAGCAAGGTGCATTAGAAGGGTGGTGCCCTCTCCGGGAGGTGTTGTCAACCATCTGTCACTGTGACAGGAGTCACGAGGTCGGACAGGACTCAGATACAGCCTCGCGATTCGGGCTTGGATGCACTGGAAACGCCAGGGGAGCTTGCCCCTCCGCACTCGCTGACACTTAACTTCTAATGAAGAGAGCAAATCAAGGATTGCGCCTCTAATCATCTCCCACCAAGGGGCTCTGTAGCAGAACACATGTCCTCAGAGACTTTCACATTCTGCCGTTTCCCCTCATTAGCAGCTCTTCCCAGTTGCAGGCTAATACAGTACAGGCACTGCCAACTCTCTAGGACGATTTGCCAACACATTTTGCCAAGAAAATTTGACTGCAGTTTTCTTGTGTAAGCCACTAGACTCTTTCATAGCAACAGGCGTTCCATTTCTGATTCACTTAGCCTAAACTCAAAACTCAGATTGCTTCTGTCCAGGCAGCCTGGTACCCCCAGGTCCCTGGAATAGTTTCACCTTTGCCAAACCCATAGAAAAGGGTTTGTGTGCTGGTGGGTCAAGCGCTGGGCTGAGTCAGGGAGCAGCCTGGGGACAGCCCGGTTTCCTGGTGTCACACAGGCCCGTCTCTCGGGGTTTGCAGTCACACAGAAAGTGTGCAGGACCCCATGTCCTTTGCTGCTGCAGGGCCCTGGGTGTGTTCTGCTGATGGTGAAAGCACCTCCTCTCCTGCTGGCCTGTGGGTCTCACAGGGCCCTACCGACTTGGCCGCAGGGCAAGGCAATTTTAAGGCAAAGGACAACACACTTGCGTCATGACGGTTGTGACACACTCCCTGATCCTCACCGCTGTGCTTGTCGCCTTGCTCCCACTCCTACATCTGGTATTTCCACATCTGATGACTCCGTCCACGGGAACCCAAGCACTTTCCCCATGCTGCCCTGCTGCAGTCCCAGACAGGGCAGAGAACTGAGCTAACCCACCTCCTACTGTAGAGGGACTGCAGACTTTTCTCAAAACTGGAGAGCCCCAAACATCTGCTGGACTCAGGGGTGTACTTTAGAGACACATAGAGTATTCTGCTTCCCAGAGAGGGCTCTGGCTCTTACGGCAAGGTTGGTCTGAGCCACTCTCACTCTGCAAAAGGGGCACCTTTCTAAATGACTTGTAGCTGAGCCGGCTGAAAGGTAGAAATCGCTTGTTTGTGTGCATTCCATAAACAATGCTTAGGGCAGCTATTCTATCTGTTCCCAAGTCTGGAACAGTGCCTAACAGGTAATGGGTGTGTGATGTGTATTTATTGCATCAATCAATGTATGAATGGCATTATTTTATATAAGCAGTACATCACAAAAGCATGGTATAAAAATACAATACACAGGTGTATATGCTTATATATATGAAAAAATTTCTCCTTTACAAGGTTGGATCTCAGCTCTGTCTGCTGGATACATGCCCTATACTGAAGTATCCTATAAATGACATTCAGTGCAACAATGTATCAAGCAGACTCATTTCCCAGGGCACACAGATCTCTACAGAAGACCTGCGGCCACCTGGGCAGGGCGATCCCACTCCTAGGACTTTTGCCAGATAACCACCCTCCATCTGTGTAGACTCACATTCCCTCTCACATCCTCCTGCCAAGGGCCTTCTGAGCTGACCCAAGCTGAGCTCCCAGCTGTCCACTCTGCAGGTGCCTAGGGTTCCCCACCACCACCAGTGACATTTTTCTACCATGAAAAATGGTGAGCAAGTGTTATATCTTGGGTCTAAAATGTCCCCTCAAGCCTCACATAAGCCAGGCATGGTGACACATACCTGTGCATACCTCTAGGAGGCTGAGGTAGGACAATCACAAGTTCAAGCCCAGCCTTGGCAACTTAGTGACTTAGCAAGACCCTGTCTCAAATCAATAATTTTTTTAAAAGGGCTGAAGATACAGCTCAGCGTGAAGACCCTGGGTTCACCTCCCAGGATCACCCAAAGAAATGGTCTCTAACTCAGAGACAGAGCTTGGGAAGGTGACCAGATTGTGAGTTCACAGCTGAATGCATGGCTAGGCGGCAATGCTAGGTCAGGAAGCTGCCCATCCCCTCTGGTTCCAGACTTTGCAATTGTAGGAGGCTCTATTCTAGAGTTTCAGAGACTAAGTGAAAAAGGTTTTTGGGTCGAAAGAGAACAGTTCAAGCGTTAATCTTTCAGTATAATAGAGCGCCTATCATACCATTATTAAAATGATTCTGACTTTACCCTGGCTACATATCAGAATTCAAAGTACAAGAAAAATTCTACCTGGGTATTTTCCAACCCAGGCCACGAGCTCAATACACAGTTATTACACAAACTTTAAGTGCCAGAGGCAGACCCTGAGCTTGTGAATTCTTAGCCTTGTTTCATTTTCAGTAATGTTAAAAGAAGTGGACCTCTGGTTACAAAGTTGGCTGCTAGCCTGAAACAATGCCCAAAGTTATAAAGACCATAAGTGAATGATCTAGTAGAGGAAAAAAAAAACACATCTCATAATATATAAATGGATGATAACCTCCATGAAAAGAAAGTATTTAAAGTCAACAGGAAATAATTTAAAATTATTTTTTGAAAATAATTTTTAAAAAAGTTTTAAAAGCCTGGATGTTCCAGAATAAAGAAATATAATCTTAATATTTTCAAGTACTTGGGAAACCAAAATCTAATTATTATGAAGGCGCCCAATGGCTACTTGGTGAGACTTGCTTTAACAAACTGACAAAAAGCATCTGTCCTTAGCATGATGTTTCGACACAAAAATGTTTGTGAAAGATAAGCTCTGAACGGGGATAAATCAAACAAATGGCTGCTGCGCGGCCCCTGCGATGCGATCCAGGTTAGCCCCCGCTTATCAGTGAGTATCATTCATGCTGGACCCGGCTTTCGTATTTTTCCAAAATAAACGTGATCCAGAGGCTAAACTCACCATCCGCGATGGTCTCGTTCCGCATCCCTGACCTACTTTCCTGCCTTGGCAACTTTATCTTAATTTTATAGGCCATTTCCTGACCAAAATTTAGGAGTTATTTTAAACCACTAACCCTAAATGGTCTTTCATCTCCAGGAAATGGGTTCGGTCCTGATAAGCCACAAAGGAGAAACCTGCCCGGGGGGAGCCTGGCGGCCAAGGCAGGAGGGACCCCCTCGGGGCGCTGGGCAGGTGCGTGGGCTGAAACCTGCCACCAAGGATGCAAAGCCCGGACTTCAGGGCGCTTCTCTGATGAGAAGGAGCCCGGGGGACCAGGCAACCAGGCCACGTTCACCACCGGCGTCCGCTTCTTGGTGCAGCGCATGCGTGCTCCGGGACCGCCCGCCCGGCCCTCCCCCGAACGCAGGACTCGGCACGGCCGGAACTGGAATTGCTGGCAACATCAGCAGCCCAGGAGGAAGAAGACAGCCGAGGGCGGCCACGCCCCGTGCATCAGTCCGCTCTGCCGAGCACAAGCTGAGGTCCCCACCCAGCCGCCCGACCTTACCTGGGCCGCGGCAGCCCTGGGCTCTGGACCAGCAGCACCAGCATCCTTGCAAAATGCAGATTCTCAGGGCCCTGTGTGCCCCTGACTCAGAACGCGGGGTGCGTTCTCAAGCCCCCAGGGGACACCGGGCGAGCCGTGGAATACGCCATGACGGTACCTGCACTGCATTCTGAGGACCTGCACCTCATTGGACAGACAGGGCGGGGCCCAGAGAGCTCTCCTGAAATGCTTCCCGGAGCGGCCACTAGGCTCCTAGTAAGTGGAATGCCTTCCTGTCACACAGGAGTGGTGCCGCCCTGGCGCAGCAAGTGCCGCCCCTGCAGAGCAAGCCAGCCTGGATGGGCCCACCTGCAGCCGACTCCTTTCCACAACCGTTTGCGACCTCTGACCCCTTGCCGCACCGAGGGGGAACAGGCCTGTCTTCTGTCCGGCTAACCCGAGGTCCTGCGAATGAGAGGAACCTGCTCCTCTGACAGCCACAGGACTTCTATTTAGGACCCCAAGTTCAGTGAAGTGTTTCCCAAATGCACGTTATCAGCCAGGCGTGCCAGGGCACACCCGTCATCACAGCACTCAGGAGGCTGAGGCAAGAGCATCACCATGAGCTCAAAGGCAGCCTGGACTACCTAGGGAGATCTTGTCGCAAAAATAAATGGATATTATGAAAATGGACCAAACTGGCTTTCTGGTCCAAAATGGACCTTCTGTGTCCTTTTCCCTAGTAAAACCATGTACCTGATAGCACTCTTGAGGGGGAAGAGGCCAGTCCCAGCACATATGCTGCACTCAGCTGAGGAATAATAATGTGACACTAGGATGTTATTGTGCTAGTTTTAAAAATCTAACTCAAAAATTAAAGGTAATCAGGAAAAAATTGCTTGTGTCTAAAGTAACATGTTAAAGCCAGTGCTCCTGGAAATAGAGAATCCTATACTCAAAAATAATGCACTGACTACATAAAAGGGTAATGATGAATTTTTAAATAAACTTTGGTTTCTATATCACAAAAATAAAATGCTTACTCTATAAACATAAAGTACTTTTACAGATGTAGTAGCTAAACCTTCCACCAATTCAATTATATTAATATTATTGGTTTAGTAAAAATGCAGGGAAAATACCAAGGTAGCCTTCACTGGGTTTATCTGCTATCTGCTGAGACAGGAAGCAAAAATGGAACTAGCAGCTTCAAAATGCTCCATGCGCACATAGCTGTCATCCCAGCCTCTGGGAGGCTGAGGCAGGAGCATGCCAAGTTCAAGCCAAGCCTGGACAACTTTGCAACTTAGGGACACCTTGTCTCAAAATTAAAAGGGGGTGGGGATGTAGCTCAGTGCCAAATCCCTGGGTTCAGTCCACATGACTGAAGAAAAAAAAGTTGTCAGGTAAGACTTGGCCTTCTGCCAGCAGACACACCTTGCCAGGGGTCCTCCGCCCTAGGGAGGCACCACTCCGAGAGAGGGCGTGGCTGCAGGGAGGGTGCACAGGCACTCCAGGAACACCGAAACACGAGTTACAACTGGAAAACATCAGCTCTTGCTCTGCCTGAGGAACATCTTTATTTTCTAAATCAGAAACTCAACCAAAAGTTTTTAACAATTTTAACAGTGGCCCAAACACAGGAGTGCGGCATCCCTAGCTCCCCCGAGGGAATGACAGTGAGCGGCCCCCACGCAGGGCGTCTGGGGGAAGGGGACCAGCAACTGCCTCTGCCCACTCCTGCAGGTCCCGCGGTGAGGGCGCCCGAACGGTGGAGGTGTGCTCAGTGATGCGAAGCAGGGACTCCCAGCCGGGGGCGGCCTCCAAGAGCAGGAGCCCATGAGGCAGGCGGCTGTGCTTCCCAAGGGCAGCGCGGCTCCTGAAGCCCCCCGCCAGGCCCGGTGCTCTCTGCTGTCCGCTGTGGGCGCCTGGCGTCTCTCTCACCCTCTGCACCTCACGGGAGCTTCAGAACTTGGGTAACAGGAGATGCCTCGCCGCGGTGCAGATTGAACCCAAGCCTACAAAGCTCCTGCAAAGAACACTGCTAAGACGTGGGACTAACTGTTTACGCCAAGACTGGGTGCTGTGTACGCTCCCGAGCCGTGTTTAGTCTGGGTGGAGGTCGCTCCCCACGCTCAGGGACACACCTTCCTTTGGCTTCTGCCCCACACGGCTTCTAACACGCAGGGATGGCCGAAGTGACATCATTCCCAGGAGCCATCCAGGTCCTGGGCCACAGGGAGCCTCAGGACAGCAGCAGACACATCAGAACCAATTACGAGGGATTAATTGGTGATTTCCTCCTCGCCAGGGCCTCTCCCAGACAGTACTGGAGTTTTAAAAAGCTATGTCCTCGAGCGGCTTCCAACTGGCAGGGGTATCCGCGCCAACCCAGATGACGCCACCCGGAGCCTCGAGGCCACGGTTACAACCCACAGCACCTGATGCCTGCTGCACCCACACAACCCCCAGCGGCTCAGCCAGACAGCACTGCTTCTGAGAGCACAGCAACAATTCTAACTGAAGCTGGAATTTTAAACATCCAGCCAGGCATGGCCACACACACACTTGCAACCCCAGCACTCAGGAGGCTGAGGCAGGAGGATCATGGCAGGTTAGAGACCTTTGCTACATAGCGAAACCGCTGTCACAAAAAAAAAAAAAAAAAAAACTAAACTAAACAAACGAGTAATAAAAATTAAAATCCAGGTGCTTAACAGCCCACACCGTACCTCTGACCCCCAGGAGGCTGCCTGAGAAGGTGCAACCCTAGAGCTGCAAGCAACCCAGGAGCCTGGAAGCAAGCAGAAGGGAGCAGGAGCGGGGGTGGGGCGAAGACAGGGCTTCTGGGAGACCCATGTCAGCGAGTCACAGGCCTGCAGTACCAAGCATCAGGCCAGATCAAGCAGACTCTCCAGGGCGGAGAGAGCAGGGTGGAGGCCTATAGGGAGAAGTGCGAGGCACCCAGTGACATGTGAGGGCCATGGCCGGGTGCCCTGAGCAAGGAAGAGGAGGCTGTGACTCCTCACAGCCGAATGGCAGCAGCGCTGGGGTCAAGTGAGGAGGGCGTGGCCGCAGGAAACAGCAGGGGGCACCAGCTAGCTAAGGGGGAACTGACCCAGGGCCAGAGTCTGGGAGCGGAGGTGGCCTGCTCCGGAAGGCTGGGCGTGGCCCTCTTGAAGTGACACAACGGGGACCCAGGAGCAGATCCCAGGTACAGAGCCTGGGTCCCCCCACACCCCGTGTGGGAGCAGCAGAGCCACCCCAAGACACACGTGGCGTGCAGGGCTGGGGACAAGGCAGGGAAGGGGCCCTAGGACACGGAATAAGTGTCAACCCGGTCCCCTCACAGGGCGGAACACCCCCAAGAAATGCACAATTAGAACACAGCCTGCCCCATTGTCCGATGAGAATGGGAGGAAGATGGCTTTCGTATTGTTCTCTGGCTGACATTTTTTAGCGGCTGTTTAATAACAGCAGCAGGAACAATGCCCTAACAATATTATTTTTATTATTTTAGGCATTCTATTGTGGCTCTTGCTTAGGCTCTCCCAGGAGCGCCGAAGGCTGAACCTGCTTGAGAGACACGTTAACGAGGTTAATCCCTTTTCCTCTGGGGAAGAAGGGTTGTTCAGCAGTGTTTGCTGCTAACAAACATCCCTGGTTCAGTCGATGCCCTGCCCGATAGCTACAAGGATTGATTTTATCTCATCCCTTGGGAGTTCCTTTGTCTGCAAAATCTTTACCAGCTCTTCACTAAATAACTAGAAATAAGCCGACAGGCTTGTTAATGAGTAATGTAGGGTTTGTGAGCTCCCTGTCCTTGTCCGGGCTGGGGTAGGTTTTCTGGGTCAGTTCCTACAGGCACTCCTGCCTAGAGGCAGCCATCCATGTGGAACTCCCTGGCACCCCAGGGGACCCAGGGACTCTCCAGGCCAGGAGCTGGGACTCCTTATCTGTCCAGCCCTGAGACCTTGCCCCTCCATTCCTCTCTGTCCCTTGGGGACTCAAGGTCAGCCACCAGATTGTTAACAATCAAAACAATGGCATCTGCTATCTCCAAGGAGGGAACTTTCAGGTTATCATTAATACAAAGACCCTCAGGCTTGAGAGCAGAGCGCACAGGCGGAATCTTTACAGCTCCTATCTCTCCCACATACTTTAGAGGTGGAATGGTCTTCCAGAAGTTCCTGATTCTCCAAAGCTGGCCACGCCTGTGGCCTGGTCTCCCTTCACTGAAGCACAGACCAGCCTGGACTATAGGGACCTTTTTCCCAACACGTCCCCCCTTTCCTGGACCTTCAGGGGTCAGAGTCACCCACTTCGTGGACAGTGCCTGGCTGCAGCAGGCATGGGGGTGTGGGTCCTAGATACCTGTGAGGGATGAAGAAGAATGAATAGGCCCATGAGAGGAGGGGGCAGCTCTGCCAGGGAAACTGAGTCATGAGATTCCCAGTGCCCCAATCACCTGCTCAATAAAAGAAGACATGGAAGGTAGGGTCCTCTTGTTCATAAGCACACTCACTCTGCACCCATGTGACTCACTAGGGCACTGATGCTTCTGTAAGAGCCACACGAGGTACTGGTCAGTGCCACTCCGTTCCACAGACAAAGGGCTTGCGACTGAGGACAAGGTCACCAGCACCACCCCCACGCGCTGCTCTGGGGCCGCCCCGGGGAGGCCGGCCTGCTCATCTCAGGCACAGCTCAGTGGAATGCGGTCCGTTCTCGCAGGGAATTAAATCTCACTCTGTCTGAGCTCTGGGTCATTCAGTCCCAGCAGCAGTGACTAATGGCCAGGAGGTGATAAGATGGTTGGGCAGGGATCCCCAAATTTTGGTGAAAGATCACATTTCCAACCCCAAGAAATCACAGAAGCGGGGTGCATGACCATGAGGAGAAGCTGGGACCAGGACATGTGGGGGACAAAGCGGGCCACACCCTGCTCCTCCTCTCCTGGCTGAGAAAGAAAAGGTGGGGAGAGGAATGGAACGGGGGTTTGGGAAACCAAATGAGCCAGGACTTCAGCAGAGATGGTCAAGTGCAAAACCAAACAGCCTTGAGTATAGGAAACAAAACACTAAGAAGTGGAACTCACACCTGGCACGCCGTAGGCACGCCTGGTCTGGACGTACAGCAGGACCCAACCCAAAAAAGCGGCTAATTCAGGAGTCAGGCCTGCTGGCTCCCACGTCAGGATCTCACAGAGCTGCAGTATCTTATTTAAACTTTATTTTTAAATTCTATTTTACTTGGATTGATATAGGAGCTATTTCAACATCTTGCTTTACCCTAACAGCTGATTTTGGAAGGAGCCAAGTAAAAATGTTACGGATGACATGAAAAGAGAGATGAATTTAAAAATTACCAAAATGTTATTTTTGAATAAATTTTCTTGGATGCCCACAAGTCCTATGCATATTGTTTCTTCTCTCTAATTTAGCCAGGAAAATTACAATGTAATAACATCTGTGAGGTCAGTTGCCAGAGGGGCCACATACCAGGTGTCTTAAGCCACTTTAGATACCTGGAAGGACAAAGCAAAGCTCTGGTCAGGAATGCGCTTGGCCTCTAGAAAATAGTTAAAATAATCCAAAAGTCAACAGTGATGAGTTTGATTTTTCAGGCAAGAACGGGAGTCTGCCTATGTGAGCAGTTTGTTTTTTTTTTTTTTTTTTTTTAAGTGCTGGATGTTTGAAATGCTAGCTCTTCCAATTAGCTCTGCCTTGCTAACACTATCAATCAGAACATCTCCGTCCAAACAGGGTTCCTATTTCCCAAGAGAACTTTCTCTGATGTGCCCGGCCCTCAGGCCTAACAATCTCTCCTCAGAAGTGTGAAACCTTTGGATCAGTATTTCTAAACCCATATAAAATGTTCTCAAGCCCGCTCCTTTGAAAGGTCTTTGTCACTGTCACAGAGGGGCACTTAAAACTGCAGGGCAGGGGAGACCGGGGTGAGGGGGCACCCGGGGTTAACCGAGAATGTGACCGCGGTCCTCTCCGTGCCCAAGGAAGGAGCTGGCGCGCAGAGCCAACCCTCAGCTGCAGGAGCAGGGTGTGTGCAGTGAGTTTATCCTAGTAAGTAACAGTTAAAACTCCACGCACAGCCGAGTTAGCGAGCAGCATTCTTCTGGAAGAGAAGTGAAATTCTTAAAAAGGAAACAACAATAACAACAAATCAAAAGATTTGAGAAATGGTTAAAAAGTAAGCATGGGAAATCTGGCAACCAGCAAAACTCCTTTTTAAGTATTTTGAGGGGAAAAGCGGTGTGCAGAGGCCACACCTTCCGATCGGAGCTGCGGCGGCCAGGCTCACAGCAGGGGCCCTTATTCTCTGAGGGAGGGAAGGCTCGGAGCTGCAGCGGCTCGGGAGGGGAAGGCAGCCGCTGCTGCGACACCGCGAGCCTCTCTGGGCAAGCACAGAATCGGAGGAAATGAAAACTGCAGTCTGCGCGTGGAACAGGGGACGCAGTTTCACTTTAGCTTTACACTCACACACAAATGTGGCCGTGATTTTTAAACTACTCAAAGGAGCGAGGGGAGGACGCTGACTCGGAAAGCCAGATGCACAGAAGCGCCTGCTCTCGCTCTCCCGCGGCCTCGGGCTACACAAAGTCGTGGGAAACCAAAGAGACAGCTATTTCCAGGCGTAGGGCCCAGGGCCGTTCCGTCCCAAACACCAGAGTCCACAAACAAGAGGAACACGCCCAAAGCGACTCCCGGGCACACGCGTGGGGCTCTGCGCAGGGCGGCCCGCGCGTCCACCCTCCAGCCCCGACCCACTCGGGCGCCCGGGGCAGGTGAAGGCGCCCAGCCGGGAGCACCGCGGTGGCGACGCGGGTTCGAATCCCGCCGCCGGCTCCCGAGCACCCTCGCCCCGCCGCCGCGCAGCGCACGGCTTCTCCCTCTCCCCGGGCCGGGAGGGCTTCCCTAACTCTCCGCGCCGGACCATAACAAAGGAGGCTCGGTGGCGGTCGCGCGACCGCAGCCCACAGGGTCCCCTGCGGGGAGCGGCCGGGAG